TTTATTAGCTGCCTTTGTCAAAACTATTACCATCACATTCAATGATATACAAGAACTGCAATTTATCAGTAAAGAATTCAAAGAGATAGCCGTGTTAGTCTGCAGAATCAGTACGTAGAGATACGAAAGTTCGTGCTGCCAATTTCTTTCTTTCAGTGAGTCTCAAAGGTGCTACAAGATCTCTCTATGTACTAATTTATCAGTAACATTAGTATAAAAAACAAAGTAAATATTCTGTATGGTGTGAAAGGAGAGACAGTCAATGGGAGAGTCACACCATGAGTTACCGCACTGGATGATGCCAACACTGCATACATCTGAGGCACCTTGGCCTTACAAACCAATCATGGGCTTTGCACTCACATTGACTGCTTGGAGTGAGCAGTATATTCCTACATCAGGATCAGCAGCCCCAGGAAAGGTATGGGAAGGGAATGACAGGCAACCATGCAATCTGACAAAACACATCCATTACTGCCACGACTTGGCACACCAATTACATGGGAGCTGTATGTATGTTGCAATCACACTGTATAACTCCAGCATGAATCAGTTTTGTAGCAAAAAAGCAGAAGTACAAACAACCCAAAAAGGCTACTAGCAAAGAAAAAGCAAGGACCAGAAGCATCACATGCTCTTTTGCCTACTATACCCAAGAGAAGGCTTGTTCAGATTCCCCCAAATCCCACACAATTACCCTCTGCATCTCCTATGTCTGTAATTTGAATGTAAGCCTGACTTCAGTTGGAAATGCCAGGCCGTTTTAAAATGTCCTTTATTCTGCATCACATTAACATTCACAAGTACCCATAAATAGATTAAAACAGGATTGAATATGTTTTTGTGCCATGCATAAATAAAACAGAGGTGTCCAGAATTTTTAGTTAATCATTTAAAAGGTAGCAGACTAAATGAGTGTTTTAAATTTAAATACATTGGCATATTGCTAAATCCTCAGTTTAGTACCTTTTTATTACTAAAAAGAGCCCTAGGAAACAGAAATGACCATTCACTCCCAGATTATAATTTAACTTCTGATTTAGAGTGGCTTCTCCAATTAATTGGCTGATGCTTTTTTTTTTTTTTTTGTCTAATTGATCTTCCTAATGATCTGCCCATTAAACCTGCTAAAGTGTGAAAACATTTTTGATTGTGAGCATGCTGCCAAAACAGGCTATTGCGCATAATTTTGATTTTCTCATTTCTACAGCACCTCTCAACTGCCGGTTAGAAATGGAAACTAAACTTGATTAGAAAGTGAACTCTGAACCCTGCCTTCAGGACTGAGATCTGCTTCAGTTTGTTTTTCCACATGAATGTGCCACCTAAACTAGCTCTGACCCATCTTCTCTAGGGAAGGAGTCTCTCACTTT